AGCTCTGGTGACACAGTGGTTAAAGCATTTGGCTGCTAACCAGAAGGTTGGCAATTCCAACCTACCAGCCACTCTGTGGGAGAAAGATGAGGCAGTCTGCTTCAGTAAACAATGACAGCCTTGGAAACACTATGGGGCAGCCCTACTCTGTTCTATAGGGCTGCTGCGAGTCAGAATCGACTTGATAGCAGGGGCGTTGTTTTTTTTTTTTGTTTTTAGTAGCAAGGGTTAAGTAGTGAGTTATCAAGTGTGCTTAATACTCAACAAATATACACCAAAGTTACTGCCACTGAGCTGAGTCCCACTCCTACCAACCCTACAGGACAGAACAGAACTGCCCCATAGGGTTTCCAAGGTTGTCAATCTTTACATAAGCAAAACCCAAACCAAACCCACTACCATGGAGTTGATTCTGACTCACAGCGCCCCTAGAGGACAAAACAGAACTGCCCACATAGGCTTTCCAAGGCTGTAGATCTTTACAGAAGTAGACTGCCTCATCTTTCTTCCATGGAGTGATGAGTTATTAACAAACCTTACGAAAACGTTTCTCATAATCCATGGGAATAGAAAGCATGTAGTACTCAGAACTTCTGACCAACTGTGAAATTAAGTGGAGCCTCAGCTGTGCAGCCCACGAACCTCAGGCAGACAGACAGAATGTCCGACACCCAGCCCACATGCTACCTACGTTGGGGGGCAGGCTGAGGCGCTCCCCGTTGGGCAGAGTCAGGAGCTTGTTGTCGTCCAGCACCGAGTTCAGGTTCTCCACCCACTCCGGGTCAACATCGCCATCAAAGACGATCCACTGGCGCTTCTGCAGCTCGCCCCGTACGTTGTCAATGATCCTGGTGGGGAAGCAGTTAAGACAGCTGCTAAGTCAAGAGTCCCAGATTAACAATGCTCACCCCAGGACGGTTTCGGGGGTGACCTTTGGGTGAATAAATCAGGTACACCTGAGCCCACCATCAGGCATCCCCAGCTACTGGAATGAATCAAGGATCACAGTGAACTTACTTCCTCAGAACATGTGTGAACAGCCCATCGGTCCACTCCCTGGTGTTGGGGTCCAGGGTTCCGTAAAGGTGGTCTTTGCTGATGGCCTTGGGGTCGATGATGTGGGCCACGCCCTCCACCCCCTCGAGTCTCTCCAGAGCCTTGAGTAGCACACGCCAGGCCATGCTCTTCCCGCTGCCCGAGGGCCCCACCATCATGAGGCCGTGGTTTATCTGGGTAATCTGATAGAGCTGGAGGACCTGCAGCAAACAAGCCCCATGGCCAACAGGGCAGGCGCTCAGCCGCGTCTCTCCACTACGCACAAGACACGCTCTGTGGAGTCTTAACAATCGCCCCTGGAAGCTGATAATGGGAGAGACCACACGTGCTGCACCTGACAAGCCTTTCAACAAGGCTCTGCCTGGTTGCTGGGGGGTATTTAATAAATCAGGGAGGCTGAGAGCATGCGATAGTAGATGCCTACCTGGCTGCTTCGAAAGGGACATATTTCTTTAAGGAAAGAGCAAGAGAACCAACGGCTAGGGGTATCTCTCAGGCTCAATATACACAGCTCCTATCAGCAAGAGCAAGAGAACCAGTGGCTAGGGGTGTCTCTCAGGCTAAGTACACATAGCTCCTTATCACAAGACACTTTGTGGTGACTGAAGCTCAGAGGCAAAAAGGAGCCAATCCAGAGAAGGCACGCGGACTGAGGAGCAGCTGGTGCCACTGGTCTCTGGTGCGGAGGCCCTGTACCAGCTCTTGTTACTGCCAACGGCCACCATGCACCATACCTGTCCTCAGCACTCTCAAGAGTGTCCATGACACAGGCTGGCGGCATCCTCAACTGTTTTGGTATCTCTAGGTTTAAGCTAAGAAAAAATTCTCACAAGTCTTGGGCAAACCTTCATGAACAGTCACACGCCTCCCTAATGAATTCTGCCAGGCACGTGGCTCCCTTTTGCTGGCCTACGGTCAGCCAGCTCTCTGCTGCGGGGTGGACAAGGTGAGCAGCCAACAGAAGGAGCCACATTACCTTTTCCACCCACATCCCGCCAACCTCCTCGCCATCGCCGTAGGTCAAGTACATCTCCTGACACACTTTCCTGAGCTCTTCTCGCAGGGCGGTCATCTCCCCTCGGTGGTACTGGACCCCTGGGAACACGTCCGACAAGAGGGAGAACAGCAGTGGAATGTCCTCAGCCACCAGCTTTGGCACCATTGTCTCACAGACGCTCTGAATGAGGATCTACAGGGAAGAGGAAAAGGACTGAGCTCCGAAGGCAGGAGTGCGGCTCCCATGTCTGCCGCGGGGACTCCAGAAGGTGCTTAACTGACAATGACCAAGTCAGGGAGCCAGACTGAGGGATCCAATCTGTCTAGAGTATCAACTGATGCATCACACACCCACAGTCATCCCCTCCATTTACTGTGAAAGTGGACGGTACGTTCCACTTGTCCAGCACACCCGGACCACACAAGAACACACTGAAGAATGAATCGTCAAGTCATGATCCACATGGTGAAAAGGTGAAAAGTCAGTCAGGTGTGAGAGCCATGTGGTCAAAGGACAGCACACAGACCTCCTGCTCGGGCAGATTTTCGGCAATTTCTCCTTCATCTACTGCTTCTCCTCGTTCCTCCTTCTCCCTCTTGATCTTCTGAATCCTCTCCCTCTTCACGTTTCCAGCACTGACCAACACACTCTTCAAAGCCCGGAGTCCAAAGTCATAATGGCTTTGGGAGGAGAGCTGCTCATCACATAGCCTGAAAGAAAGGTTTCCTTAAAGAGGAGCTTTCCACAACAACGTGGCAGATGTGACTGAATCAGAGGTGGACGCTGGGACAGCTGTGCTGCGATCAGAGGGAGCGCCCAGAGGCAATGGGCCCTCATGCCCGTGCCGGGAGCTGCGTGGCACTCACTTGAAGAAGGGGACGATCTTGTTGGCGAGCACCTCGGCGGTGCGGAAGCCCTGGGAGTACAGCATGACCTGGGCGATGAGCTGCCGGTCGGGCTTGGTCATGGCCAGGCTCCGGAACAGCTTCTTCAGGTTGTCCGGGAGGTTGGACCTGCCCGCGTAGCCAGGGTTCATGGTGATGAAGATGGCCATGTCCGGGCTCACCTTGACTTGTTTGTTCAGCAGCTCACAAGTGATGGGGGCAGAGGCTGCAAATTGGGTGGTGGTAGTTAAGATGTGCGACGTTCAAAACATCACTTACGATCTCTCTAAATGACAGCAAAGCACCGGTGGTCCTGCTGGCCTCTCAGTTGGGAGCCGCAGCAGAGGGCGGTCTGGCGCTTCGGGGCTCTCAGCAGTGCAGCCCACACAGACTGCTCTCACATACCCATCGCCACCATCTGAACAGACATGTCACCAGCAGCAGGGAGCCCACTATTCTAGTTGACATATTAGAGCCCTGCTGCAGCCGCTTACCCCCAGTGATCATGACAGGTGCAGAAATAAAAGTACGTCAACATCGTAACCAAACCGATTGGCTTAGCCCAAGACAACCACCTTTCCTAGAACAAACTAGGGGCCTTCTGACCTGGGAACCAAGCGCCCCTTCTCCAACAGCATCCCCTGCACTGGCAATGCTTTCCTGAGGCCCCTGCTATTTAATCACGGAGACAATTTCCTCTCTCCGCACATCAATGCACTTATTCCCTCCCACACCCCCGCTTGCCATCACCTCCTGCACTGGGACTCTGTGGGAAAGGCAGCCCTGGGAGTCCCAGAACAGCTCCTCCCATGGTGGAGACGGCTCCCTTTCAAAACGGTACAAGACCTGGCCAGACCGGGGACTCAGGAAGGAAAGGGGCACCGAGGGCCACAGCGGCACGAAAGCACTCGTTCTGCAGCAGATCCCAGGGGATGGAGCACGGTCTCAGGGAGCACAGGCTTCTGTCTGAGGGCGGCCGAGCCTGGTCTTCACCTGCTCTGGCACACGGGACCTGTGCGCTGCTGCCCTGCTGTGAGGACCCCGAACCACCGCTGCAGCCTCCTGGGCCTCTAACCTTCAGTCTCTAATCATTGCTCAAGATACTGCCCTGCAACACTGAGCCCCTGCTAGTTCCATCCTTGCTTATCTCTAACCAGAACGACAGCCACTAAGCCCACGGCGAAATGCTCTGCTAGCCTTCAACCATTTCTGAGTGCACGGGAGCAGCCTTACTCTTGTCGTAGTTGGGGTTGGAGTGCTCGCGCAGGGCCTCCTGGATGCACTGCACCTGCTGGGACACGGCCGAGAGCATGCGCTCCTCCAGGCGGTTGAACTCGTCGAAGCAGCCCCACGCGCCCACCTGGCAGAGGCCCACAAAGATGCGGCCCATGGCCTGAGAGGAGAGGAGAGAGGGAGGTGAAACCACTGCCCTGGGCGGGGCTCTGCGGGCCCCAGTTCCAGCTCAGCCATCGTCCCTCCTCAGGCGAGCACAGCTCTGAACCCACATCTCTGCATCTTTACAGGGAGTGGTGCCGTTTACCCCACGGTGAGTGGGGTGAGGACTGAGACACACACACGAGTAGGCACGGTATCCACACAAGGGGAGCACTTGGTCACAGCACCCACCGCCTTCACACAGAGACAACCTAGTACCTCTTATCTTGTTGGGCCAATAGAAATCCCAGTATGACCAAGGATTACTCGTATTCCGTCACTTTTTGTTGATAAACACAGCCTTCCACAGCATCTGCCTGCTCCCCCAGACACAGGCACCCGGCATTTTTTTCAGAGTAATAAGAAATTGCCCTTGTGGAAAACGATTCACCGTACTGACTGGATTGAATGGAAGATTGAACTCTGACACCATGATGCCAAGGTCAACTTCAAAGTACACGTGTTGGATGCCTCAAACATTCAAAATACTCCTACCCTGGAAGAACTCCAGGGGAGAGGTAAGCCACGCTGGACTGTCGCCAAGTGCCTGACAGTCCCTGTGACCCTCCCAACCACTACCTTCAGGGGGCTCCCTGCACCTCCTCACCTGGAAGTCAAAGGTTTCGTCACAGTTGAAAACCAACACGAACCGTCCCAGCTGATGGCCAAGAGCTTTGACGGACTCTGTCTTCCCAGTCCCTGCAGGTCCTGTGTTTGAAGGAAACCACTGAGGACTTTAGTCCACTCCCTCCTTGACAGTGCACCTCTAGCTTGAAGGCAACTTGGCCTTGTTAAAAAATACATTCAAATCACCGTCTCTAAAAACCATACTTCCTATGTCACCTCCATCGGCCCGGGCTTGTGGGGCCACTTACCAAAGGGTGACCCTCCAAGCCTGGCCTCCAAGGCCTGTGTCATGGTCAGGTAGCAGCGGTCTGTGAGGGGGGTCTGGACCAGCTTGTCCTGGACGCCTAGATACTCAAAGCCATAGTTGAACTTGGCGTTGGCCATCTGGATGGACAACTGCTGTAACACATCTGTCTGCTTGGGGTCAAAGTAGAAGCGCATCTGGCTGAGCCACTCAAAGGACTTGGGGTTGTCGACCTTGCTTTTCATCAAGGATCTGGTAACATCTCTCTGGTGGACTAACTCTGTGATCTGAAGAGAGACAGACACATCACAAGTTTACCATCAGAAACCTATTTCTGCACACGTATTTGTGTGTGCTACAAACACATCCATGTATACAGTAGAGCAAAGGTACGAGAAGTTCTTAACCAAACACTGGAGGGAATGAGTCACTGGGCTTGGGGCCTCAGGACCACAGTCCTGGGGGGCAGCTAAGTGACTCTGTGACACAGTTCACAACAATATTCTATTCTATTCCCTCTTGTGGGGAACAGAAACTGGGGTCGTAAAGCTAGCGAGCAGCCATCTATTAGATGGATCTCACAGATGCACTGTTGGTCGCTCCCCATCTAGTGGAGAAAAGTAAAGAAAATCAAAGACTCAAGGAACAACTAGTCTGAAGGACAAATGCACCATGTGAACCATGGCCTCCACTAGCCTGAGACCAGAACAACTACATGGTGCCCGGCTACCACTAACAACTGATCTGATTGGGACCACAGAAGGTCCCAGACAAAATGAGTGAAAAATATAAAACAAAGCCCAAAATCATTAAAAAAAAAAAAAAAGAGAGAGAAACTAAACTAGACTTACTGGTCTTTAGACTTACTGGTTTGACAGAGACTGGTGGAACCCCTGAGACTGTAGGCCCTTGGAGACCCCTGAAACCAGAAACCAAACCTACCTCTGGGGATCACCTCGCAGCCAAACAACAGGCAGGCCTATGAC